CCACAATAGAAAATTTAATATATTTATTAATGAAAAAAATTTCTATTTAATATTTTTAATTAAAAATTGCCTAAAAATATTGAACTAACCCAATACTAAAATTCTATAAATAAAATGAGAAGAAAAAAAAATTAATATTTTTTTAAGGATAGCTACTCAAAAATATCAAGCACCTGTAAGTATTTTTATATATATGTATAAATTACGGGTAAATCATCAATTTAAATGACAACTCATGTAATAAAATATCCTGGAATCGACTTTGATCTATGACATACAAAACATATAAGAATAATGAAATAAATTTGCTAGTATTAAAGTAGCAAATCAAATAAAAAAAATAGGGAACAACCAAATTTATGACATGTAAAACACAAAATTATGAACAGACATCACTATTAGTCTCCTTTTACCTTAAGTTACATAAGTACTTTGTCTGTTTGTAGGTACAATATCCATGTATATCAAATATGCAAAAAAAAAAAAATAATTTCATAAATTGGTTTCGCATATGAAAAATTTTCACATTAGTATTTCCCTTTTATATGCGTACATACAGCAGGATTCTGTTAAAACTTTTCGCATTGAAAAACTTTTACGCACTGTTAAAAATTTTGTTATTTTGAATTACCCAACAAGATCATAGGATTTGTTACCATTAGACCTTCTTTTTTGAGATTACATAAAATATCGTGTTTGTACAAATAATCTTTAATCTTGACTCTTAGGATCTTGTTGACGCATATCCGTTTAATTAGAACCATGTAATTGGCAGCTACTTAGCGACTACCCATCGAAATATATCTCAAAAGTACTATAAGATATTCCATGAAAGACTTTTAAATAAAGTCGTATTCAACACCTAATGACAACATTCAAACAATATATTGGAATTTGATCAAAACATTAAAAATTTAATTTATTTACATTTACTTTTAGAAATATATTTAAAATGTTTTACTAAGTTATGCTAGGTAAACACACAATTCACACAATTCACAATTCTTAAAATTAAAAATCTTATTTCGATCTCGGGTGCCAGGAAGCCCATGAATTACAATTATTAGAAAAACCATGTACTAAAAATGCTGCGAATATTCAAAACAGTAGATATGAATAAAATATAAATAACATATTATATGTGTTATAGTATAGCGTTCTAATATTATTTATCTTATAAATATTAACTACAAACTGATATGAGTAAGTAAGAATTTAACGAAAATTAATTCTGAAAGACTGGATTAGTATTATATTCAAAATCTTACTTAAACTTAATATAATTTAATCTATATTGTAAAGTATCAATCTGCAATCTACAGAATAAATAATATTTTGCGATTACATGCTTTTTATTATTGCCACGCTCATGTCTTTTAGCATAAATAAACCTAAACTTTTATGTACTAAACCTCTCGATTTCAGCTTTTTATCCAAATTACTCGAAACTAGTTTCCACACAGTCCTGCAGAGCAATGGTAGAAATCTTTTCCATTGAATCCTAAAAGAAGGTTCTGGAGGATTGTAATATAGAATCTTAAACATTTTTAAAACACTTGAATACTTTTCAAACACCAAAATAATGCGCATTGGTAAGTATTACCTAGAATTTATACACCCAAGTCGTGTGATTTACCTAAAATGACCTGTGTTCGAATACGTCTGCTGTGAAAGAGACGTCAAAAACAATTCGCAAATTACGAGATAACAGAAAATATTTCGTTAATTAATTTTATGTATGATTCTGTCTTCAATTTACTTGAAGTGCACACAACTATTAGAAGGTAAATATATGAAGAATATTTATTTATTTAAAAATTGACATCAAAGTAGTTCTACATATTAAAATCAAGTACAAAAATTTTACTACATTTAATTCAAATTTTATTAGGATGCAAGATTACATATACCATATATGAACAAATACATAGTATATGTGTACATCATGCATAATTTTTAAAAAAATTTTTTCAGTGTACTTAAAAACACTTATATGAATGAACTATTCTTTATACAATATTATTATATCATTTAATTCTTTATTTTATTTTTTGTTACGACTATAGTAACAGGTACATAATACATATTTAAAAGTTTTCATTTTTCATATAATATTGATGTCAAAGTTTGTTTTCGTCAAACGCAAACATCAAATCCCATACTTACTACCAAACTTTTTCATACAAGGTGCTTAAATATGTTATAAGGGCACTACGCAATCAAAAAGGTAACACAGTGACTATAATGCCCACACGCGCGCCATGAAAAGAATGATGTTTGGATATTTGGAAGGGCATAAATGTTAAAAAACTAAATAAAACAATATAATAGACATAGAAATAAATAAAATAAAATAAAATAAAATAAAATAAAGACAAAGAAAAATGATATTAAAATTGTTGGAAAAATAATGTATATAAAAAACTGGTTAAAAGTGTCGGGAAAGTCAAAATGTCAATTGCACAAAGGAGCGAAACTGACATGAACTCAATATATACGCAGCAATCAAAAAACTCAATTGACTTCAAATAAAATTGGAGTTCAGCAAATGGCAAATTTAAATGAAATAGGATACTACCTACAGTGACGTATGAAAATAGTTACCAAAAAAAACATTGACAATATAACAAGATATCGATATAGATATCGAGTGAACATATTACTCTTTTATTGACTATAAATTTATATTTTAATAAAATTTTAAACAAAACTTAACATAACATTAAAAAGTATTTTAAACTATAATTTTACTATAAAAATTTACAATGTGTGATACTTTAATTTACATATTATGTAATTAGTTCTTTGAACTTAAATTTGAACTCATTGTAGATAGTTTTTTCAATTATTTATCTATCGTATAGAAAAACTACAATTAGAAAATAGTAAACAAAAATTTATATAAGCATAAAATGATCATCATCATCCGTGACTATACAATCCATGTAGAACCTAAGCCTGTTTAACAATGGGCTTTCATTCTTCTTCTTGTTTTCCAATTTCTTCTGTTCATACAAAATTAGCAAAGATTTAATATATTTAAACAGTATCTCACATCGGAAGTCATGACACACAATTCATCGTGAACGTTGTCTATTACATTTGCTGGTATATATACGATTACTGGTCACATGACCACTTTGGATCACTTTTTAGATCTCAATTCGTAATTGCTGCTTTGGTCCTCGTTGTAGATTTATACATCCTATTTAAATTACATCATACTTTCCATGGTTTAAATTAATATTATATAACAGTTTTGAATTAATTGACAAAATTAAACAAATTATAAGACAGATACTGAAACGACTTTTCAAGGTACCATGACATCCTCAGGGACCACAAGATTGGTGCGATCAAAAAATACATAAAGGATAGAAACCTGCAAGTATTTACGAAAATTGACAGGCTTATCAACACCGCGTTATCGAATCTCAGAATGGTTACAGGTTCCTCGGGGAGGTATGCAGATCTGAGGTCAATTATTGCTTAGTCTGATGAAGTGATAAACAATAATCTAGTTAAGGCGTAGAGAGGGGTTAACCTCTCTGCGAAGAAACCTCGCAGTTAATAGAGAGTAAAGTGCTCAGGTGCACTTACTCAACTTAAATTTTATGGAAATATTATAAAAACATATTACTTAAAAAAATTTTTATTCATTTTTCTAAATTTAAATCTTTCAATATGATTAAGAATTTTCATAAATCAAAAGTAAATAACATCAATAAACTTTTATCTCATAAGTGGAGACCCTTAGATGTGCAATACGAAAAACTAAATCATTTATTTGCTTATTTAAGACGTAAAGTTGATTATATTAAATCTATTAGCATATCATTATTTTATGTGAAATTTTAAAAAGTTAAAAGGCTTTGAACAGTGTCATAAATAATTCAAAATAAAATTTATTACATATAAAATATAATTAATTGTGTTTACGCAAATTAAAATTGTCAACGCTTATGTTAAATAAGCAATGACAAACAAAGAACAAATGTTGAATAAATTGTATAATTCAAAATATATTATATCTTAAAGATTTTTTGTATATAAAACCATTCACACTTCTTTTTTTTTTATTGACTTATTGAGTGTATTTCTTCAATATTTTCTCAATTACCTTAAATATTTTTATTTTCAATTATGTATATAATAAAATATGATTCTAATAGTCTTTCATAATTGAATATTTTCATTGATATATTTTAAATAATAACAATATAGCTTTTTATATATTTTTAATCTGGCTGTACGTCTCTTTTTGTTGTATAATTAAATGTTTAATATTTTTTATTATACTCTATATTTCAACTCTCTTTGAGAGTCATTCTTAGGTTGACGTATCGTAATCCTGATGCTGATTCTCAAGGGAATTGAAATATAGAGTATAATAAAATATATTAAACGTTTAATTATTTAACAAGAAGAGACGTACAGCCAGATTTAAAATATATAAAAAATACATTTTAATAAACAGGTTGAAAAATAAATTAAATAAAGTTTATAAAATTGTAAAAATGTATTGTATGTATACTTTATTTATACCTTTAAAATGCAAACAAATAATGCTCATACGCTACCGTGAACCGCTTCTTTGCATTTATTACGTTTTAAAAAAAATTTTAGTAAAATTTTTTCAAGCTTATAAACTGTTTAAGTACTTTCTTTTTTGGTTACTTACAGAACTTTATAATATAAGAACTTTTTAAACATCCTCTGCAAAATATTTACTTTCTTTGTTTGATCAAGTATAAATGTTCAAGTATAAATATTATATGTATAATCCTTCGCACGTGCCTGAATTTGTCCAAGCATTTAATTCAATTTCTTACAGAAAACATTTTGATATACAATTTAATTAAAATAACGCATGAGAACCCAATTGAATTTATTCCTGCACTTCTCTCTTATTATTAGTAGCAGTTATAACATTAAAAATATTATTGTGAAATAAAATAAATCAAACAATAAATCAAATTGAAAAGTAAATTAAAACTTACCTTAAAGTTACGTTTTAGTGTATTACTAACAGGTACCGTGATGCACATAAGAATTCACCTATAATAAAAACGAAAATAGAATTGAAATACCATAAAATACAAATATATATTTAAAAATTTTATTATTAAATAAATAATTAGGTTATACATTTCTTGGTACTGATTTGACAACATTGTTTCAGTGATATATGTCTAACATAACTATCATACATTTGATTTGAAATCAAATGAAAACATTTGATTATACAAAAAGAATCGTTCAAAAGCAAACGTTCCAAAATTTTAGACTTAAACTATAGAGCATTTGCTCCATTTGCTTAAACTACAATGATGACAATTTTTCGCATGGATTTTTCTTCAGTGATAAGGCTGATTTTTCATTTGGTGGATATAGCAACACACAAAAATATTCAAACTGAGGCAGTAAAAATCAACAAATAACTGTTAAAATACAATTTCACACAAAAAAAGTCGCTGTACGGCTTAGTCTTTTAGTATATAGGCCTGAGGTAGGTATGAGAGGCCCGTACTTTTTTCAAAATTATGAAATTTTAGCACAAACCGACAATTGTGATGACTATAGCTAAATGCACAACTAATTGTTCTTTAACCTAAAATTAACGACATGAATATGAATGAATATGGAATATGTGGTTTCATTGGAACGATATAAAAAACCACACAATACGTCTTGTTTTGCCTTGTTGCGCAATTTCTCTGGTGTAAGAAATCATTTTTTGTCACCACTGCACTTATTTATGGGGTTCCGCAAAGGTTCACGTTTATGGGGGCACTCATCAAGCTCACGCCACTTCAAAACATCCACCAAGCTATGACCAAGCTGTTGCTAGCTATGTACCAACATGTCTTTGAAATTTATCAGAAAAGGATTCAGTACTTTAAGATATTCTGTAGATAGCATTTGAATGATGTTAAATTTCACACTAATTAATAATAATGTTCAAACAATGTATTGATGTAAAAATTTGATAATCACAAACAATGCTGCTTTAGTTACATTTAATTTTAAAACCACTAAATGGATAACATCGTATAATTTAAATTGAAATTGATAATGCTTTACTTTGTATATTAAATAATTAAATATGGTATTTTTCAAATATATAACAAATAGTCATTAATTTAAAGGAGAAAAATTCATGTATAAGGTTTATAAAACCACAAAAATAATTATGAAACATGATTCATAATTATGAGTATTTTAATCATTTAAATTCAAGCAAACTCTATTTTAAATCATTATGATGAGAAAATAAAGCATTTCGTTTTAATTTGCTTAAAATATTTTGATCTGCATATAGTAATGTAAAAAAATATATATTTATATATAATATATATATATATATATATGATATATAATATATATATATTTGTATTAATATAAATATATTTGTATTAATATCAACATTTCATCTATTATTTATAAATTTTCAGAAATTCTGTCTATGGAAGACTTATATTAGATAAATTAGTTTTATACTAATAAAACTTCAAGGCTTGAGAATAATTGAGTTTCTCTGCTTAAAGTACAGAACTCTTATGAAAAATGTTATAATTGCCTAAAACTGTTTTTTTCTAAACTGTATTTATAAGGAAATTTATCGTTATGTTTTTATAATATAGATTGACGTCATAATTGAATACTTGAGATAAAATTTAAATTTAAACTTAAATTTAATTTAAAAACCGCAATTGCAAAATTAAATAATAAAATGTTAAAATTAAAATAATAAAATTGAAGTCAATTAAAGAGAAGAAATAATAAAATGTCATTTATATAAGAAAGTACCTGAAGTTATTCATTTATATTTTAAAATAAATTTAACAGGATTATCTTAAGATTAAAAATAAATCTTATTTTTATTCACACACATTTAAAAAAAACAATTAACAAAACATAAGCGATGGCACACAATGTGTGTACGATTTCTTAACTTAGCCCATTCATAAAATTTTTTATATCAAAATAGAATACTATCGGTATAAGTCTAATAAATTTGATTATATATATTTGGATATATTTTTTTAGAAATGTATATGCACACTTAAATTCATAAAAAAAATACAAAAAAGAGTTTAAACAATGTGTCAATTTATAAAATTAATTATTCATTTTATAATATAACACTTTTTAAAAATATTCATTTATAAATATAAAATATCAGATATATGTTACTTCCATGATTTTCTGATTAGCGACTGTAATATGAATAATTATAATAATGCATTATAATAACACATAAATTTATAACATGATTAAATATTACATTAATATGATTTGTAAAGGGTATATAATAATATATAATATACTAACATAAAGTTTCGAGCTTTATAAAGTTACAAATCATAGCTGGATAGTGAATACACAAAAATTAATTAAATTACGAATATAAAAAAAAAAATAATATAATACATATACACATACAATTCAAATTAAATAAGAATAAATATTAATCAATTGACATGTTTCCTAATTTTTCAACTATTATTATTCTGATGATAATAATAATATAATTATGTTTCATACTTTCATATAGTTCAAAAATTGTATATAATTTTGATAATTTTTGCTAAAATATTTAATTATAAAAAAAAACGCTCTTAAATTTCGCAAATCCATTATTATTAGCTATTCATTTTATAATATATTTAATTTATTTCCCCATTCTGAACCACACTCTAAACCACATCTGCATTAAATTGACACAACCTCCTGCAATGTAAAAACCAAGATGACACGATATTTAACCATAAACCAAGCTTCTTAAAAGCAATGAAATATAAAATTATCTCAATGGTTAATATTTAAATTCTGTTGTTGGAAAAGCAGCACATGCTTATATAAAGTATTTGTAGTATGTATTAAAGTGACATTTCAACCAAAACATGTTGAAGTTTGCATGTCATTCAGCTTAAGCATCACTACAAAAAACAAAAGCCTTTAACTTCGCATGAGTCCAAATTCGCTCTTAATGTGCGTATATTATGTATTTCAGTAAAGAAAAAACAAAGTATAAATTACTTGAAATTATCTCAAACAACGAGTTGAAAGGATACCATAAATCTTCTTTAAATGTAGCGTCGCTTTGTCCATTGTTGAATGTCGCTGTGGTTTTATTGTATGTAGGCAGGCACTTTAATACAAAAAATCTTTATATGGTTGAAAATTAAAAAACACTACCACATGCATTGATATATTTGTAAAATTTTTATAAAAAAAAATGATTTACTATCAAATATCACTAAGAGTAACGCATTTCACGGCTAACTAATATACACAATATAGAAAGAAATTAACTGCAAAAAAAAAAAAATATTTAACTACATATTTAAGTATTCAAAAAATATTGATACCCCCATCAATATATTATATCCATGTAATGTATTATATATATTTATTATATTATACTGTATTTATATGCATACCACATAAAATACTAAATCAATAAATTATATTAACATCAATATATTATATATTAATGCAATTCATATATATTATATATTTATATCAATAATATACAAAATATGAAGACTTTTTCCGATAAATAGAGAACTACAACAACAAAAAGTCATTTTTATATTATTTTAATTAATTGAATTAATTAATTGAACATAACTCCACAACAAAAATATATTATTTTACTTTGTATCATGTTATATTAAAAAATTCAAATTTTTATTTTTAAGTTAAATTAAGCATCCGATTTTCGACCACTTCTAGCTGTTCAATAAAATTGTTATACTAAGGGGATACTTTGTTACTCAGGTAAATATACTAAATAGAAGATTCGTGCAATCGGTTCTATCATAGTTTTAGTTTAGAGCCTGAAGAGTTAAACACTACTTAACAACACATGCCACTACTCAGGCCTTACTAGAACATAATTATCATCTGTTGCGATTCCTATCAACTATGCATTAAATATACCAATATAAGTACTAAAAACGTGAGTAGTTATTTAATAAATTTCTTCTAAATTTCTTAAGTTTGCTAGAGTGCCATAAAATTGAGTGTAGTATCACAATAGATTTTCTTTTTAAGGCCTTATTAAGCCTTGTGATCTGTAAGGTCGAATCTCACCGGTATAGTACATTTTGTTACAAAAAACTAGTGACCAATATAATAAAATAATAAAAAAAAGTTGAATCCAGTTTTACAAAGATCTGTTTATTTACGTCACTGTCCTCTAAATAAATTCACTATATCTACAAAGAAATGTAGTCATTCAAATTTAAATAACTCATTTTCGCATAAAAATATTTATACACATATAATAATAAATTAATTTAATATCTCATCTCTAAAATAAATATCCCCAAAAATAAATAAGTTTGTATTAATTACAACATTAATTAGAACACATTTCTGAATAATAATTAACCAATTATTGCGATGTGAAACACTAATAGGTTAAGTGTGTTCTATAATAAAAAGCTACAAAGATTTTTCATTTCCTTTATTGACATAACTAAGAACTAACACTAAACAAAATTAGATATTATCGTAATTCTATAAACATTCAAGGTATAAGGATATTAATTAAAAAAAATATATATATATAAAAATAAACTGCCGGTACTAAATATGCATCACCAACAACCACTCCACATGTCTACACACTTCCGCAAAGGATTTCCCCAAATTTACAATAAAAAAAAAAAAAGAAAAAATATTTACTGTTACAATGAACTCATCTAAAAGAATATTTATAATATTTATTTTTATGTTGCAGAGTATGAAATTTGGTTATTTTTATAAATGAAATGTTCATGTTTTCAAAAATAATTCAATCAGCTGATAGATACCGCTCCGACTAAAATTAGCTAAATATATATATCGTATATATAGAATTGTAAGAATATTTATGTAAGCATTTTTAGCATATGGCAACGTTTATTTATCGTAAAAAACAAGCCAAATATCTTAGGATATTTTTAGTTATTTGCATGACGTATTAAAACACTTAAATAAAATATTAAAATAAATAATATTAATAAAAAAAATAAAAAAAATTTGAATACTAAACTATAACGAAA